TGTTTATCAATAAAACTTTGAAAAAAAATAAATAAAGTAAAAGGTAAGTGTGTAGTATCCTAAAGAGTAGGAGAATATAATTCAATAGGGTAGAAAATAAAACTATGTATATTCAATTTTTATATTCATACTAATAGCCCATTAACCTTTAAAACCTAAACAATCAACTTGTTTTTGGTACCAGGAATCAAACTCAGGAACTCTGTGCTTGCCAGGCAGGTGCTGGAGCTGCTGAGCTATAACCCTAACCCCTTAAACAATTATCTTTCAAGGCAACACAATCAAAATTCCTCTCATTAAAATCTTGTTTTCATCTATCTCAGTCATATTTGAAAAAACCCTGGTGGCTTTGTTATTACTACATGAATCATAAATAAAATCCAGAAAGTCCTGTACCTTGAGTATAAAGGCTAGGCAAAATCACCCCCCAGAAAACTTTACCACTGTCCTCTTGCCTTGGAATTAGGATGACAAAAACTCAACACAGTCATTTCAAAGGAACAATTCCACAAGGACATCTGTCAATATTCAAGAGGAAACTGGCTAAGAGCATTTATATGAAGAAGAAAAACTTAAGGCTTCCATTTACAGAATTTATGCACATAGTTAGTTTATAGATGTGTGTGTTTAATGAACTTCGAATAAGCAATTTTTGATAGGCATTTACCATCTACTTGCCTTCTAAATAAAATGTTGACTGGCAAAATGTAAGTTTTTCTTTAAAAATATTTGTATGCTTTCATATATAATTAGAATATAATATTAGACAATAATTTATTGCACAATTGTATCACTAAGAAAGTGGGGAAAAATTTCTATGGGGTATCTGAGTTCAATTCCAGCCCCATACAAGGAACTCAGCTTCTAATCCTATTCCCTGCTGGGTTATTTTACATTCAAATGAATAATAACTCTACTCTCTTTAATCTAGCAAGATCTAATTAATACCATAGGAGAAAGTGCTGCGTTGGGAGCTGCAGGCATTGTTATCTGGGGAGACATGAATTTAACTTCATCAGAGGTAAGTCAGTACATGAAAGGTGTATTCAATATTTTTTTAGTTTGTTTTTTCTTGTATAGAGCTCATTTAAATCAAAGTTCTCATGACCCTTATGGCAAACCAATTTTAGAATAAGTCTAAATCCATAAATACTGTTAACTTTTGTAAAGACATAGGAGTATATAACCTGGACACGGACAATTGTTGGCTATTTCTTATGTGCTAAAAGGGTAGCTAAGAGATTCTTTAGATTTATTCACTTATTGGTCATATGAGATACTGACTCTTAAGGTCATTGACAAATGAAGAAAAAAGACATGAATTCTAACCAGCTATTAACAGCTAGTTAGGCTAGTTATGGCAATGACCACAGAGAGGATGATTCTGGAGCTCTTGAACTGAAGAAATGTGTTATGTACTATTTTGGGAAGTAAATACAGATGGGAAGGTTTTAATCATCAGACTGAAGTTATTTTTTTTTCTCTACAGAGAAATAAGCTGAAAATTAATAGCATTTAAAATAAGATTTAAGGGGCTGGGGAGATGGCTCAGGAGAATAAGTGCTTCCCTGGCAAGCACAAGCAAGGATCTGAGTTCAATCCCTGGTTCTGCCAAAAGAAAAAAAAAAACAGATTTAAATATTTGTTCAAATTTCTCCCAGCTGAGATTCTATTTACTTGAAGAAATCCTTCTAGTTTCTCCAAATTGCATCCAAAATTGGATACATTTTGCCTTGAATTATACTTGTATCCTGAACACCTTTAGTGAAATTAGATGTTTTTTGCAAGTTCCTAATCACCTTCCAATGCTCTTAGAATTTCTTATACTCAATTTATTGCCACAGAGGCATTGCTTATGAAAATATTTCTGCCTATTTAATGGAAAGTGGATAGAAATTAAGAGACTCAATTCCTGATCTTCTAGGTCTAATATTTCTACCCTCCCCCACGTGACTCAGGAGAAAAGCTTCATATATGAAGTACAACCCAGGGAGCTCCTGTTTAGCAGACATAACAAAACCACACACAAATTACCTAGCCAGCCCTACAGGTCTTCTGGAGTTTGAGTTTATGCATAACAGTGAAGAATTTATAATTGTTGATGTTTAAGAATAATAAATAGGCACATCTTGAAGTCTAATAATTGATATTCTACAATACACAGTGGAATATGATGATTCATATTCTAACACAACCATGAGCGGTACCACACTTCTGCAAGTTTTCCTTGAGAACCACAATTCTGGTATGATACCTAATTTGTGTTTGTTCTTTTTCTTTTCGTAACCATTAATTTGAGAGTTAGAAGGATGGACAATGGTGTAAACTGGTGGAAGGGGAAGACCCCTGTCACTCTGGGGACCATTGAATTCTCTGTCCAGGTGTGATACAGCCTCAACTCCTGTCCCTTGGAGCTAAGCCATTCCTGAAATGAGACCCCTGTGTTCTAATGCCCTGAGTTCACCAACTAGAACCAAGCCACCAGGTTTCAGCTAAGTCCAAAGAGCTGCTGTGTCGGGTCCAAAAGCTCAAACCCTGTCAGTACCAGGAAGCACACTAAAATCCATATCTGTTTACATTTCTAGGACAACTGTACCAAGGTGAAGCAGTTTGTGAGCTCTGATTTAGGGAGCTACATAGTCAACGTGAGCAGAGCGGCTGAGGTGTGCAGCCTTCATCTCTGCATGAATAATGGAAGATGCGTACGAAAGACGTGGAATGCATCAGATTACCTGCACTTGAGTAATGAAAGCTACCACATAGAAGCCTCTGAGAACGGGGAATTTACTGTGAAGGGAAATGTATCTGATACAGACCTGGCTAGGATGAAAGAGAAATTCTTCTGTCATTGTTACCAAGGATATGAAGGTGCTAACTGTCGAGAAATGAAGGACCCTGGTGGCAGTGCTGAGCTGTGCTGCTGTTCTGGCTTACCTATGATACTATGTTTACTGTTAGCAAGTTACCACCACAGTCAGGTGGGAGATAATTAATTTTAAAGGGAATTATGCAGCCCTTAAAATATCCTGCTGTGGAGAAGAAACTCAGGAGTTCTTTTCTTTTATAGGAAGTATTAAAGCAGATATCATGGTTGTTAGTTAAGATAGAAACCCATTATTTTACCATTCATTTGGTTACAAACCAAGCCCAAGAATACAAAACAATATTTTCATTACTGAACTATTTAAGTCATATTTAAAGTAAAGCTAATATATTTTGATCTTTTTATGAATAGACAGAAGTATACATATATATTTGTTATTATTTTCAAAGCCTGTTTTTCACCTTGAAATTCATTCAAGGGTAAGTTATTAAGGAGCCATACAATCTTTCCGAGTCACTTTGAGGCATGACCTGGTCAGCTGGCCCAACAGAGAAGAGCTAACAAAGAGGTTGCACAGTGTCAGGGCCCAAGGAAGTGGGCCCTGTCCCTCACTTGTCATAAAGTATCTATTCAGTAAAGTGCCTCTTCACTTCGCGTGGGCCTTCTCATACAGACCCTGGCCATCTAGATGTTTTGAAACACTGTGATTATATTACTACTTTTCTAGGCTGACAATGTTGAAGATTTAAAAGCTGAAACCTTGTTAATAAAATTGCATTTGGTGACTTTTGCAAGCAAAATTACAATTAAAAAGAGAGTTAATAAATGATATCTCAGGAACCCAGAAGTATGGTGGAAAAGGAGAACTATAAGAAATAATATTTTGCCCCGCCCTTTTCCTCCTATATGCACTTTTAACAAAGTATTGAGAGTTATTTTGAATCTGTACTATCTGGCTGTATTATCCTGGGAATGTTATTTATATTAATTATTTTGTCATATGGAATTTGACAACATAATTCTTTCTGTAGTAAATTATTCTGGGGAGTAAATGCAGTAATACATCCCTTGTGTATGTTGGTTCTTAGTACATGTTGTTGATGAGCAATAATCTCTTGATAACCAGAGAATGAAATAGTCAAAGATTAAACAATCTTGGCTTATCTTGACATGTTCTATTTATTACCATTTATGCATTATGTTTTGCTGTTTTAATTTTTTTTTATCCTATGTATGTGGTACAGGGTCTCACTACACAATTTGGACTCATAGTGATCCTCCTGTCTCAGCCTCTCCAGGGCCAGGATTATAGGTGTGTGCCACAATGCCTTGTCTTGGTGGCTGACATGGCACCCCAGGGGCTCTGGGGCCAGCATGGAAGGGTACAAACCTGGGTCCTTGAGCTTGCCAGGCAGGCTCTTACACCGCTGAGCTACTTCTTCAGCCCTAAAAGTCACTTTAAAACCACATAATAATTTGCAAAACTGGATGTCACAATTTAAATAAAAAAAATTCATTTATTTTTTGTGTCAGACTTCTATTGGGGGCAATCCATTGAGGCCTCCTCATGTCTTGCAGGATCTAATCCTATTCCCATTCCTATTCCTCAATAAATTTTCCTACTCTTAGCCTCCGCTGTTCTTGAGGATTCATCCAAGGTGATCCTCCTTCAACTGCATGTAATTTATTCAAAATGTTTAAAATCAGGAGGCTGGAGGTTTAGCTGAGTAGCAGAGTGCTTGCTTAGGCTGGACAAGGGGCTGCTCTTCATCCACATAATGGGAAAAAAGCAAAGAAGACTTGAAATCAGAATCTCTTTTGTTTACTCAAATGTTATGTGGAAATAACCTAATGGTCCCTCCAAAGAAGAATGAAAACATTACGATAAATGAATTTCTTGTCATGCTGTTTATATACACCCTTGTAACAGGGTGTCACACCCTTTCACCAAGGAGCATTTTGATTCTAATTTGTGTGTATTCTTGCAATTTATAGAGTGGAGAGACGTACCCTTTTCCATTTACTACTGAAGAAGGAAGCAAAATACTAGGGAATAATGATTGATCTCTGCCACCAGTATGTCCTCCACTGTAAGCTCATTTTCGTTTCTGTTCTTTAGCCTCTACTGATAGAAACTTCCTCAAGGTTGGAGACTGTCTTGTTCACTCTCGCATACCAAGTCCAAGCTCAGGTGATGCTTACAGGAGGATTTTCGAAATTTATTGTTTAATAAAACTGAGAATAATAACTCAATTCTTCCTGATGAGAGATACATATAAGAAGCACAGCGAGAGTCATGATCAGATGTATTATAGACACTGAACCATGCTCGAAAGAAGAAACTCAGGCGAGGATGTGGCAAGAGGAGTGGTAGGCTTATGAAAATGATCAAAGCATGTTATGCGACAGAATGAATTTTTCAGAATGAAACCCATTAATCTATGTGACTAATACGCACTAATAAGAAATAAATGAAAGAAATCAATAAACCTCATAAAAGTACATACCACCAAAAATAAAAGCCCCAAAGAAAACAAACAAACAAACAAAAATGTTCCTGGTCTCACCATGTCTAAAGGGATCAGAAGTCTTGTGCTGATGTGTATTTTGAAGAAGCTCTCCAATCATAGATAACATGAATTCCTAGGGGAAAACACATGAAAATACATAAAAAGAAAAGAGAAAGTACTGGAAAGATCAGTAATGGAGTTCTGTCTCACATTCTGAGCAGTGACAGTGGAAGTAGATTGTCCCTAGGAGTCCCAGCATCATAGCAAGTACATGGTATCTGTTCTCCCCTCTCTCCCTCATGTCCCCATTTCATTTGTTTTGTCTCCATGTCTTCTTCCTCCCTTCCAATTAAGTTGTGTTTCTGTCCCATATTTTAGATCTTTTATTTTTAACTTCTTCTTAAATTGGATATCATAGCATTTTATTTTGTGAGGTTTATGTAGATATGCTAACATATTAAGCTTTTATTTCATTTATCTTTTTATGAATCAAATGTCTTTTTAAGATTACTTTTTTACTGGAGGTCATCTTTTAGCATTTCATTAGTGAAAGTCTGCATGAGGAGAACTCTCCATATTTTTAGTGTAATAAGTTTTGAATTTATCCTTACTGTAGATGGTTGTGATGGGTATAAAAATATGGTATGATAGTTACTTTTAGTATTTTGTAACTCCTGTATTACAGTTTTCTGAGAATACTATTTTTTGTCTAATTACTCTCCTTTTGTCTAATTACTCTATTTTTTCTTCTATCCCATTTCAACATATTATGTCTGGTTTCCTTTCCCTAGTAAGTAATCATTTTTTTTTCTACCTCATTTTAGCATGTTATGGTTAATTTTTGGGGCTCTGTGGATTTGATTTTTGATTCAGTGTCTGAGTAGATATTTGCTCATATTCTGATCAGTGTATACAACATTCTCACAGGCAGTGATGGCTCAGAAATCCTGGATACCAACCATCTCTTCTAAATTCTACTTTAATAATATCTCTTTCATATCTGCTTTAATAACTCTGTCATATCTCCAGACCAAATTCTGGAGTTGTCCAGATGTCTCTTCATCTATATCTACTCTGCTATATAATTAGCTTAGTTTTTAGTTTCAAGAATTATGTTTTCATTTTTAAAAGTTGCATTTTCAAAGTTG